ACACAGCTAGTAAGTAGCCATGGTAGAATTTCAACCCATGCCTCTCTGACACCAAATCCAGCACTCTATCCAATATATCATGCTGCCTCACATACCTCAAAAATACTTTTCATCCACTTATTTGTGTAAATGTTACATCCTATCAGTAGAATGTTAAGTCCTTAAGTGCAGGGGACTTTTGCTTTTTGTCTTTGTATCTCCAGTACTTTGCACAGTGCCTAGCAAGTTAGTTGGTGTTCTGTAATGTTTGTTGAATTGAACAGCATATAGTTCACAGAATCATGAAGCTAACAAAATTTTAGTGCTGCCAACACTTAATCAATGCCAAGACTCCCTCACATTAACCTTCCTCCCTTCCTCTTTATCCCTATGATCAAGAAAATCTGAATTTAATTCACTGTTTCTCTCCAACTTTTTTTCACTAAAAACAAAAACAAAAACAAACTACCCAGTCCACCAAACTCTCCTTAACTTTATTTTCCTTTTTCTACCTAAGCGAGCATCACATGGCCAGTCTAGATAAGCCATATAATCTACTTTCTCATTTCAACTGCTTTACTACCCAAAAAGCGTTCTTGACTGATTTCATGGGATGTTAGAACTGATAGGGACCACAGAAATCATATAATCCAAACGCCTCATTCTATAGATGAGAAAAACTAAGGTCTGGCGAGATGTCTGGTTAACTTGTTAGTGGCAGGGCCAGGTCTAAAACTCAGTTTTTCTGAATCCTGTTTCAATATTGTTTCAACATAACCAACCACGTCTCTTATTTACAATTGTGCTAATTAAAATAAACATATCTCTTTTCTAATCGTCAATCATTTTTATTTATAAAAAGGAAAACTCATGTAAAACCAAGTTACCACAAAAATTTTCAAATAAATCAGTTGACTCAGCAGTTTAATTCACTTTCTCCTTGATAAAAGCTAGAAAAAGAGAGATGAGCTTTTTCTGCTTTTTCAATTCCCACACAACTCTCAAGTTAAACAAGTTGATCCAAAGGAACAAACATTCTTCCTAAACCTAGAGAGAAACCACTAAATTCAATAAAATATATGTTTTGGAGAGATGACTGCTGAACGTCCACATCATAGCCAACTCTAATTCTTCATTGAAATTAAACACTGAGAGTATGGGCAAGAAAATAATCTGGCAATTGCTTAGCCTTTTGCAGGGGTGTGAATTTTAATAGTATTTAAATTTTAATTTGTTTCACAGTTTATATGTGAAATAGTCACATAGGATGGAAAGACATGGATAAGTTCAATCCTCATCCTCAGATACAATACTCACATTGATGAGATAACAGAGCTATAAACGAATATATCTATATCTATAAATAAATATATAGAATTAAACTCTAAGTTTAATGTTTAAAATCTTTGTAAAATATACGTGTGTACACATGTAAGTATACGTTTTTAAAATTCCACTCTGCTATTAACTTAAAATATCAGCAGTGAAATATTTCTAACTCTTAGCTTTTTAGCTTGGACTCATGAATTAGAGGATCTCAAGAATTATAGAAAGCTGGAAGGGGAGGAGGGACTTAAAGGTCATTTAGGGCAACGGTAAAAGGAATGAGGGAAGAAGGAAACAAGCCTTTATTAAGTACCTACTCTGGGCTAGGCACTGTGCTGAGCACTTTACAAATATTATCTCATTTGAGATGGCAGTTTCAGAGAAACCTGGGAAGACTTGTATAAACTGACGCCGAGTGAAGTAAGCAGAGCCAGAAAAACAATTTATATAATAACAGCATCCTAAAGACAAACAATTTTGAATGACTTAAGAACTCCGATCAATTCAATGATCAGGCACAGCTCCAGGGGACTGAAGAAGCATTCCACATATCTCCTGACAGAGGAATGGTAGACTCAAGACAGAGAATGAGACAAACATTTCTGGACTTGGCAGATAGATGGATGTTTAGTTTGACTTTGCTTATTTGTTACAATGATTGCATTTTTTCTTTTTGTATGGGGGGATGGGGTGGATTAAGAGCTGAGAACAGAGATAGCAATAGGGTGTTCAAATAAAGGAGAAAATAAAGATGGCCCTTGAAGTATTTTCTTTTTTTACTGCAGAGAAGACTGAAGGAAGTTCAGAAGAAAACACAGGCAAGTAGGACAGCTTTTAAAAAGAAAAATAGTAAACTTATTATTTACTTTTTTTTTTTAAAGCAAGAGGTCCATAATATAGACTTGCATTTTCACAATTACCTATCTCTGTTCTGCTTTGTACATGGAAATGTTCTCTTTTTTTTTTCTTGGTTTTCATTAAACCCAGAATTAATTTTTTAGGACAAAAAAATGAAATATGTTCAAATATTTGCTGGACAAGTTTAGGGGTTTTAAAAATCTTTTGTATACGGAAATGCTCATATTTGGTGTCAGTTAAGTTCAGTAGATATCAACGACAGACAGACTAAATACATACATAGCTCATTTAGCCCAACCCATTCGTTTTACAGGTGAAGAAACTAAAATCCAAGGTCACAAAGTTAGTAAGTTATAAATCGAGAATATAAACCCAGGTCATCTGATTTCAACTCAAGTGCTTACTGCCACATCCTTTTTTCCCCCAATATCTATGATTACAGTTAAAAACATAAACTGCTTTGAATACTACCTATCTACTGTGAGCTATCCCCAGTACTGAAGCAATGTCTGGGCACTGAATCTTAGGGAAAAAAAAAATTAACCTAAACATACAAAATCTAATGAAGACTAAGTACATCACTACGGGAATTGAACTTTTCAGGATCCACTTAAACTTCCTAAACTTTCTGTTATCACTTTCAATCAACAATTAAAAGCTGTACCTTACTGTACAAAACAGCAAATCTCTAAATGTCTTCCTCCTAACTCAGGGCTTCCATCATTCAGAGCATCTTAAAACTCTGACTACTTAACACACACTCACTATAGATGCCATCTCTTCACAGAAGCAGAAAATGTCATGCTGAAACACAGAGAACTAACACCCCTAATAATACCTAAGAACAAGGGTTTACAAAGGCAACTGAGTACTACATTTCTATCTCTATGATATTCCAGATTTGCTTTGGCCTTCAAGAGAAGCCAGAGACAGTCAAGAATACTGGCTAGTAGACTTGTACTGTTCATTTGAAATTAGAGAGACAGACAGACAGGAAGACAGAGGAGAGAGAAAGAGAAAGAGAGAGAGAAAGAGAGAGAGAGACAGAAAGGGGAGAGAGAGAGAGAAAGGAGAGAGGGAGAGAGAGAAATGAGAAATGGGGCATATAGTAAGTGAGGGCCAATAATAATAAGGTACTTTGCCAAAGGCAAGATGTACACAGTTCAGTTCTTTAAAGCTGAGTCACACAGCAGCTTATTTGACTCACCTAACGATCTAACTTTAAGTTATCAGCAGAACTCTGCTGAAATTATTTCCTCTAATTTTTCTTAATTACTTCACCTCTCCCAGAAGAAAGAGGAAAATAAATGTTACTGGTCTAATCTAGCCCTATGAATGTCGACAGGGCATCCAAACTAAGTGAATTCTTAATGTAATTAAGACACAGCCTAGCTGTGAACCAGATAAAGTAACTTAGATTATGACACCCTAGGGAATCAGAGTAAGATTTGGATGCTGAGAAGGGTTCCTATCCCCCCGCCCCCAAAGCCAGACTTCAGGAAGATTTGCAAAGCCCTGGCCCCCGATTCTGAGAGGCTTCTATTCTCCTTTCGCTGTCAATAAAGGCACACATGGTGTACGAGCGCCTGTATGTGTATGTGGTGGATGTGGGGTGTGTGTGTGTGTGTGTGTACCTCGCCTGGGTGAATCATCAGCGCTCATTCCAAGCAGCCGATGATTCATTCACGCGTCTTTCTGACAGCGGCCACACGTTCCGTACGTACTATACGGGCGCACACGCAGATTTCTTAATATTTAAATTGAGCTTTTAAGGTCCACACACCTCAAGTGAGACGCGTGTAGAGGGGGCATGAGGAGTGGGGAGGGCAGCGGGCACGTTCCGCCTCCCGCACAAGCTCTTATAGAACACACACACACACACACACACACACACACACACACACACACACACGAATCACCATCGCCCTCCTCCTGCTCCTGCCCCTCCCTCCCCAGCCAGCCGCTAATGCACGTGGGGATGCGCCAGGGAGAGGCGCCGGAGGGCACACAGGTGGGTCCCCAGGTCCTCAGCCCCAAGCGATTCGCCTGCTACCTCCCGCGTGCCCCTCCCCCACAACTTGCGAAAGGAGAAAAAAAAACGCCTTCGCAACGCGCCTCCTGCCCGCCCGCTCGCCCTCCCCCTCTGCCTCGCTCCCTCCCTCCTGTGACATCTTATATAATAATCCGAGCTAATCAAAACGGAAGCGAACCGCGCTGCCATGGCACATTAGCCAGAGATAATTACCCTGGGAACAGATGCTCTGGACCCGGGCCCGCGGCTCCCTAACTAGCCGCCGGGGCGCGTTGCTAGAACAATCCCGAGTGGGGGAAGCGGCCAAAAGCGGAGCTTGTTACCCAACACTGTGAATGTGCGGTTGTTCCCGGTCCCTCATCAGGAAGCTGCGAGCGTCACCAACTGCGTCAGCTTCTTCAAACACATCGCCTGGGCTCCCTCTGGTCACAACCACGGGCAGGAGCCGCGGGCGGCCGGGGCGGAACCGCGGGCTTCCCGCAGGACAAAGTTCGTGGCCGCTAGCGGCCAGCACGGCTGCACTTCGCGGCCCTCCGGCGGCCGTCCTCCCGGCCCCGCAGCCCGCCGCGGCCCCAGGCTTGTTGGGCAACTTGTGACACATGACGCCGGGCGGAGCGGGCGGCTGTGTCCCCCCCCCCCCCGCCCCGCGCGGCCCCGCCCCGCCCCGCCCGAGAGCCCCGCGGCCGCTGCCCCCAGCGACCCCCGCAAACACCGCCCCCCCCAGTAGAGAAAAAAAACTACGCAAGAAACTTCCCGGCCCGCCCTGGGTAGGGAAGGAGGCTCCCGCACCTCGCAACTGCCTTACCTTGCTCTCCAAAGGCCATGATCTGTGTGTGTGTGTGTGTGTGTGTGTGTGTGTGTGTGTGTGTGTATGTGTGCCTGCGGGTGTGGAGATGTGTGTATGTGTGTGCACGCGCGCGCGCGTGGGGAGGCGGTAGGTAACTGAACAGTGGCTCGGAGGAGTTTCGCGGGAGGAGGAAGAGGAGGAGTGGGGTGTGTTAGCGGCAGGGGAAGAAGGGAGAACTCGGAACGCAGGAGCGCGCAAGAGCGGAGCCCGAGGCGCCCGGGGCGAGCGAGGGAGCGCGGAGGGGGCGGAGGAGTTTCCGTGGGTTTGTTTACGCACCGCTGCCCGCCCGGCTCGGGGCACAGCCCGTACTCCCTGATTGGCCACAAACTGGGGCACTGCCTCTTGCTGCCCGCGTGGCCTGAGAGCAAGCGCGCAGATCCCTGGGCTCCCTGCTGGGCACCGTTGGCTTTCCGCCGCTTAGCGCGGCCTCGGGGAGGCAGGGAGCGGGCGGCTGCGCGGGCTGGGGGGCTGGGGGGGCTGAGGGCTGGAGAGAGCCGGCGGCGGGGCTGCCCGGTGCCCACCGACCGAGCCGACCCCTCCGTGCAGTGAACGGGGTGGGCTGGATGACCTTTATGGTCCCTTCCACTTCGGACATCCTACATGTCAGTGATTCTCCCACCTGTAATTGCCCGACCTTGGCCGAGGCGGGCCGGAGGCTTTCTCAAGGCCATAGACCTTCGTCAGGTTAGGAGGCAATGCACCTGAAACCACCAGATTTTCGCTCCTAGAGGAGCCTTCCACTCACTGGTCCCTTCCCACTCTAAAATGCTTAGAGGTCATTGAGCCCAAACCTTTCATTTGAAGAGAAACTTGGGCCCAGGCAGGTCAAATGAACCAATCTGCTAAGTTGCAGAACTAGAATTAGAACCTCTCCTCCACTCATACAGCGTTACCGCGATTCACACACTTTTAGACTCCGGAATAAAGTTGGCTACAAGACATTCACCGTGGCTTGGGTTAGGCAGACCCTCAAAGTCGGCTCAAGAGATTCCTCCACTCCCATTCTTCTCTCCCTTTCTCTGCCTATCCTTTTATGTACTTTCTTTTTTCTCTCCTTTTCTCACTGCGAATTCCACTCACTTCTATTTCTCTTTCTCTCTTCTCCTCCTTCCCCTAAGTTCCTTTCCAGATTCTGCTGTACTTTTCCTCATTACCTGTGCTCTCCTTTACTCCTGCATGCTTGCAAGGAAGCCTCACCCAGTTAAGGAAAGGTTGTCCTCATCACAAAGAACAGTTTGTGATCATGTAGTTTGGGACTCAACACAACTTCCAGTTGAGAGGGAAGTTGTCCAATAAATTATCCTCAATGGGTCATAAGACTGTTTTCCATTGTTCCCCTTCTATAGAGGACCCTAAAACTTGTCTCCCTCCCTATCCTACTATATTGTCCCTAAAAGACTTCTCCACAGGTTCTCCTCCTCAGTATTCTACCTCCCTCCCACCTGTTTCAGTCTTTACCATTCTACCTATGCCCACAGACCACTACTCACACTTCCAGTACTATTCCTCTTTTCTTTCCCAAACTTGCTCCAAACTCTCTCCAGGAATCAATATTTCTAGCCCAGTTCTCTCTCCTGAGTTCCAGACCTTCAAACTGGATGTCCTACCAACAAATCAAATTCAACATATCCAGACTGAAAGATATCCAAACTATCTTTCCCCCTAAACCTATTGCTTCTGATTTTTCAGACTAAGGTATTTCTGTCAGTGGCACTACCATTCACCTAGTCTCTCATGTTGAAAATGCTGTTCTTACCTTTGACTCTGTTCTCCCTTGCCTCTCCTCTCCAATTAGTTCACCAGGTCCTATCTTTTCTGTTCTACTATAAGCTTTTGTTACCACCTGTCTGATCTATTGCAATACTTTCTTAATGGGTCTTCCAGTCTCTCCTCTCTCTCTCTCTCTCTCTCTCTCTCTCTCTCTCTCTCTCTCTCTCTCTCTCTCTCTCTCTCTCTCTCTCTCTCTCTCTCTCTCTCATCACTCTTCATAGCACTGTCAAAGTTTTCTTCCTTCTGCATTTATCTGGTTAGATCACTCCTCAGTCCTGTGGCATTAAAGATCCCATAATCTTTGTCACTGACCTTCCTTAACATTCTACTCACCTCCACATTCTCATGGATCCAAACTGGACTGCTTTTTGTTCCTCAGAGATACTCAACACTTTATCACCTCTGTGCCTTTGCTCATGATGTTACTTACACAGAGAATGCCCCTGCTACACACAAACATACCTGTTGATTCCCTACACATCCTTTCCTCCAGGAAGCTGATCCTTATCCCTTCAGTTAGTAATGACCTTTCTGCCACTGAATTTCACATAATACTTTGCCTGTACCTGCCTTCAGCACTTTGTATTTTTTGGTTCTATAGTTACTTGAGAATATGTCAACCTCCTCTGCTAGACTGAGTTTTTTTTTTTTAATTTTCAGTCTAAACTAATCCAAGAAGCATTTAAGTTGTGGTAGATGTGGTATAAAAAGATAAAATAATCAAAGCTCACGTGTATGTGACACTTTGGGGTCTCTAAATAGCTCAGTGGATAGAGCATTGGGACTGGAATCAGGAAGATGAGTTCAAATCTGACCTCAGACACTCACTAGGTGTGTGACCCTGGGCAAGTCACCCAACCTCTGTTTTCCTTAGTCCAGGAGAAGGAAATGGCAAACCACTCCTGCATCTTTGCCAAGAAAACCTCATGGACAGTATGATCCATGGGGTTTCATGAAGGCAGAAAATATCTAATTCTTATATGTCCTTCAGCAAATGAGGACATGGTCTAGACTGGGGTTCTTAACTTTAAGTCTATGACTGTATTTTTAAAAAATATTTTGCTAAGTGTATTTTGTTTCCTTTGTAATTCTATTTATTTTTAAAATGCATTTAAAAACATTAGTCTGAGAAGGGGTCCCTAGGTTTTATCAGACTGTCAAATAGGTACGTGACACACACAAAAAAGGATAAGAATTCCAGTTTTAGATGATCTTTTATGTCTCCTTTTATTTAAACTCTAAAATTCTGTAAGGGAAAGAGAAAGATGGAGAGAAAGGAGAAATGGATAGATTTGGAAGAGAGAAGTGAAGGCAGGCACAGAGAGTAAAGTATTCATGTCAGCAGTCAAGAAAAGAGAAGAAAGATATGGATCACAACTTAGACAGAGACTAAAACAGAAAATAGACTGGGGGGAGGGAGAAATGGGAGTTGGGGAACCAAGGATCAAAGTAAAAATAAAATGGGAATAGAAAAAAAAGTAAGTTCATGACTGGAAGATGATGAGAAGGGAAGGTAGGAAAATGACCAAGACACAGGAAGACCACCCAAAAGGCAGCTATCCAATTTTAAAACAGGAAACTATGGACTAAATATGAGTTAACAATAAAAATGTACACAGTTGTTTTTTTTAATCTGTGTATTATCTGTATGCTTTTCCTACCTCCAGTTGCTTACTCCTTCAATAAACACAGAAAACAAATTACAAATTATCCGAATGTAGCATAGATATCATTGACAGTAACCATGAAATGTTTCCATTTTGCTATAAAAATTCAAGTTCAGAGCACATTTTTGAATGCCCCATACAGGTTTTTCATTGAGAGGTTTGGCCCAGTTTTCCCAACTCTGAAAGGTTTACTGCCACACTCAGAAGATGTGAGAAAACTCTCTTTCCTCTCTCCCTAAATTAAGCTTATTTTAGTAAAAGAATTGGTAGTTTCTGTACTGTCCATCTGTGACAGTCAAAGGCATTACTCAAAGAAATTCACACACAAAAACAATGGTGTGAGGGAGCATCACTGTGTCCTGATTCTGTGTTTCCCAGTTTATTCTCTGGAGATTGACTCTCAAGTGCTGTGGCTATAATGAGAAACTAAAGATTTTTTTGGCCACAGTTCTGACTTTGACATCATTCGTAAGTCTCCATTGAATGCTATTAGGATCCTGTGATTGATCTACATCTTGTTTGTTGATTGGGTCTCTAAGATGCCATGTACTTAGTAATTTTTAAAATTTTGTATCTCAGATACAAAGACTATGGAAAATGACAATTTGAAATAGGAATGTCCCTCCCAGTTTTCCTAGTAAAGACTAAGGCAAAAGTTTTTGTGTTAGCAAAAACAAAACAAAATCCTGGAAACAAAGTGGGTACCCATTGTTTGGAGAATGGCTGCACACATTTTAGTATGTGCATGTAATGGAATATTGTTTTGCCTTAAGAAATGATGAATATGATGAATTCAAAGAAATTTGGTAAGAATATGAACTGGCTGATTATAATGGTACATGCTTGTAGTGCCTCCTGCTGGGGAGACTAAGGTCAGTGGATTGCTCGAACCTGGAAGTTCTGAGCTGCAATAGGGCTAAAGCTAATTAGATGTCTACGCTGAGTCTGGAATCAATATGGTGAGTCCCTATAAATGGGGCATGGGGACATCATGCTGCCTAAGGAGGAGTGAACCAGCCAAGGTCAGAAATGGATCAGGTCAAAACTCCAGGGCCAATCAGCAGTGGAATTGGGTCAGTGAGTGGTTGTTGCATTTCCAGTTTGTGAAAGAGAGAAAGAAAGGAAAGAAGGAAGAGAAAGAATGAAAGAAAAAGAAAGGAGGGAGGGAGGAAGGAAGGAAGAAAAGAAGGGAGGGAGAGAAGGAAAGAGAAAATGTTTATATGAACAACCAAGAGAATTATATGCACAATGATCAGAATAATGTAGAAGAAAACAAAACTAAAAGTATCAAATCAAACAGATCATTATAATGATAGTGTTGACTCCAGTAGACACAATAGAGAATTGGTGAGCAACAGATATAGATTGAGACATACTATGTCAGATATGGTCAACAGGTCTAGTTTGTGAAATTTTATTTCACTGGTACGTGAAAGTATTGTATAGGGATGAGGAATTAGAAAATGACGGTTGCATTAAAAAAAAGCATCAATACAACATTTGTAAAAGGACAAAACAAAGAATACATTTTATCTCTACTATATTTTTGTCTCTGAGAGCACTTTTTCATTATGATCATGAAATAACCTAATTTACCTCCCTTCTATTAATTTATCTACAGAATTTATAACTATTAGACTGAAGTCCATTGTCAGTTACTTCTTGAATTCATTTATGTCTTCCTTGATTTCTAACTTGCTTTGCAACTCACATTTTAAACTTTCCTGTTTTCTTCACTTGCCACAACCTTTCTCTTCCTTGAAAGATAAC